CAATTTTTCATAATGACTGGGGTTGAAATATTTAACACCTCAATGTCCTACTAATCACTAACAAGATGTTACACCAACGATGCCAACCTGCTTGATCAGGAGACTGGGCTTCGGGAGTGCTGGGGTTCAGTGTCTCTTCTCTTGGGGGGGACAGAGAGGTGAGGATGGCTGTGGCTTTGTCTTCGCTCCTGTTATTTCCAGAAGAGCTGCCTTTATTGGAATAAATATTTTCCATTATGTACGTCCTTTGATATTTCGAAAAGCTATGCATTTTTAAAGGATCAAATTAATTTGGTATTTTTTTCCTACTTGATTATTTAAAAGCAAATTAGAGTCAATAATGTGGATTACAGGCTTTCCTCTCCTTTGCAGTTGCATGCTTTAAAGATGAACTCAATTGCAGCCTTGCAGAGGCTTTGATATCTGCATAGAAACATTTAAATTAAGTTTTATAATATGTAATAAAAGGAAGTCCAAGACCCATAGAAGTTTTAAAGGGTCTTATATTTTTCTCCTTTGGTTCCACATAAAATGGAATGTATTGTCTTTAAATTATACTTCTTCCTAAACTTAGACTCTTTAACCCAAAGTTTTTTCTTCAGTACCTATAAGAAAATGAATGCATTTTAGCCTAACTGCATCTGCCATCATCGACGTTACAGTGCTCTCTGTCTGACAACAAGGCTATTCATATCCCTCAACTATGTCAGAGTGGGGAAGCTTCATACATGTGGCAAACCTGAAAATGGATTTTGGACTTCTACTGTCATCCACAACTGTCTGCAAACCAGGTGCTCATAATTTAAGCTTTGATACACCATTCTCTCCTTCAGATTAGGATTGTATTACGTGCAGCCCTTGGATCACACAGGCTGGTGTGTTTCTTCCATGTGGATTTAGTTGATGCCTCACTTACAAGTCTGCTTGTTTGAAAACAAGCCTTTAAAACTTCAGATACTGTTCTTTCTGAAAGCCTGGCACCATTTGGCTTCTGTACCACACTGCTATAGCATCTCTATCTTCCATAATCTCTTCCTGAGGGCAAGCATCAAACAGGGGCATGCCATAAGAACTAATTGTCCTTAGATTGGGGCTAGGATTAAGCGCGAGTCTAAAATCCATTCACAGCTGCATGGTTTATCTATCTCTCTGGTTCACCTAAGAGACATCATAATCATTTTATGACAGAGAACATAAAATTGTTTTAGATTTTAATATTCTTTTTTTCTGAGGTTTTACTATGTTTTGCTTAGCCATTGTTTGCTTTCTTGTGTCTGGTTTGTAATTTGTACAATTTTCTATATGTGAAACTTAGGACAGTAGATCTATAGAGGTAGAAACTAGATTGATACTTGCCTGGGGTGGTGACAGGGAAGGACAAGAGTAAAGGGGGAGCAAACAACAATGAGCACCAAAAGAAAACGTTCTGAAACTGATGGCGGCAAAGACTGCATAAATCTTAATATGATTGAACAATTGAATTGTATGATATGTTAAAAAACTGAATGCAGGCATTATTGTAGAATTAATACTTCTATTTGCTGTTTTATAAAAACCACATCAGGCCTAGCAGGCAGAATTTCAGCCCAGTCTGGAAATCCTACACACCTATGCTAACAGATATATGTACGTATATGCAAAAGTATCCACACAGGGTTTAAATCCACTATTTAAAGGAATCATTAAAATAGGCACCTCCATTTGTTTAATGCTTTACTGGTTACAGTGAGTTTAAAATTGAACCTACATTCAATCAGATGACAAAGAGTCCAGAGAAGAGCCCACGAAAAGAAAAACAATCTAAAAAATGCCTAATTTACAAAGAGGAGACATAATGAAAAATGCTAATAGTCTAGTTCATTTTTAATAAAATCTGAATGCAGGGACTTCCTTGGTTCCATTTGGGCCATAAAGTTTGTTTTTAAATTGTGACTTGGATGGACGTGCACAGAGCAAATTGGGTTTCATTCAGTAGTTTACACACATTTTGTTTGGTGCCATTGGTTGCAACTGCTCCTGTGCCTCTCTTTCCTGCTCCTTCCTGCCATCTGAGCTTAGCCCAGGCAAACGCTGCCCTCTGGATATTGTACGGTGGACTGTACCATGGAGTGAG